TTTTTTCCAATTTTTTTCGCACAAACCTTGGGTGGAGCAGGATTGTACCAATCTAATCGGTACCCTATGTATCTTCTTATCGGCTGATGTGAACTCTTCCGACTTGCGAAAAACTGGATCATCCTAAAATGGACTACTTTATGGAACTTCGGGAAACTTTGAAGAATTCACTTCTAACGTTAAGTACATACTAATGTGGTATGTAAATTATTGTGATTAAATTGTAGTATTGGATAACACTAACATGTAGCAGATCGGAAATTCGGTAACCGCTCTTATGTGAGACTCCTCGATGATGGGTACTGCGGCTTTTTGGTGAGACAGGGGCAAAGGCACCTAGAAGTATAAAAATTAAGGGCACATTTAAATTATCGTAAAGTTTTGGGTAAAATGTTGTTCATGAACGCTTCTCCTCTTTTTACGTTGCATCTATTAATTATAGGCTAAATTCTCCATACGACCAGTTTTACTACTACCAAAACGATTTTTTTTCATAGCAATCCTAGTGAAATCAATAAAATAAGGGAACCATAGGATAGAAACCACTACTTTTATTAAGATGTCTAAGTTGAATCTTAACAACTTATTATGTCTTTTCTCTTTTTTAGTACTGCTTTGATCGATAATGTTCCTGATCTTACTTCAAGTCTTCCAAATTTAAATTAATTTGATAAGTACACCCTAACTGGAATCTGTAGAATATGCACCCAATATGCACTTCGCACTGCCTTCTAAGAAAACTCAGGTTTATTCCATTAGTGTCGTTAAACTCACTTTTCATGTTAAGATCTTGCATTGCTGCTCCTAAGGCTGTCGTAGGCGTTTGGAAACCGGATATTGATGAGAACGGCTCTAAAAAAAGGGATTTTTATGCTTTTTATGTTATATCTCCCAAAATCGGACGAACATCTACAAACTCACTGTCATTTCCGGCAAAAAACTCGTTTTTGATGTGCTCAAGTCGTGCGGAAATCGTGGAGATGTCATTCTGATCAAACATCGATTGAGATGAACCGAATGGTACACGGCTACGGTAAGG